GAAGCATCCAAGGTTCGACGAATCTCATCTGCCTGAGCTCGGGGACCGTTGGGAGTCGAAGCTTGGGGGTCTTGAGGGCGGTTATCAAGTGAGCATGTCGCCTTGGATTCAGTTTATGCAGTTTAGGGGCTAAGGGCCCCAAAGTAGCAAACCCCTAAAAAGACCCAAACCTTTCAATTCCAGGAGCATTGGCTCTTGGTGCTTTGACCTTCCTACCCGAAGCTCGAAAGGTCTACTGAAGGGCGACCCAAAGCTGCGGTCCCAAATGCTGGCTGCACGTCTTGAGAATGGACCTCTTCTGCCCTGTAGGAGTAGAAAAGGCAGAAGTGAGCCTACAGCTAGAGCTTCCCTGAAACACTTCAGGCCCCGAGTCCTAGTGCCCTATCCTCGAAGCCCTGGTGATCCATGTGGCCCATGTGGCCTGAGGTTTGATGTCATCAATCCGTCCGGATTCATTTTGGGCATCAGTTTGCATTGATGCTTTTACTCAGTGCATGATGTGACGACAGTGGTGTTCGCCTGGACATAGATGTGCGTGTATGTATAATATATGGATGTAGGATGATGTAGGTATTTATGTGTGCAAGCATGTAAGTATGAGTGAATGCATGAATGGGTGAGTGAATTAAGGAATCATGGATGGATGGAAGGATGGATGAATGAATGAACGAACGAACGAACAAACGAATGAATTAATAAAGGAAGGAAGGAAGGAAGGAAGGAAGGAAGGAAGGAAGGAAGGAAGGAAAGAAGGAAGGCATGCATGCGTGTTTGCATCTGCGTATGTGCATAAACATGTAGGTGTGCATGTGTGTATGCATGCTTGCATGTATTCGCAAGGTATGTCAGCAACAGGCACCACACGACGACCTGCCTCGAGCACACCGTCCCCGTTCAGGTCCAGGCTCAGGAACTCCTGCGCAGTGGAGATCTCTTGTTAAGTCATGTCCTAGGCGTTGACAGCCAGACTATGCCGTGGTTTGGGTCTGAAATTTCCGGGCTTCAGCATTCCGTTTTCCGGGGTGGAAGGTCCGATCCACGGAGCGGTGGAGTTGGGCAAGCGACACTATACTTCCGATGGAGAGTATGGCATAGGCTGTAAGTTTTAGGTGTCAGTGTTTCAAGATGTTGAAGAGAGCGAAAGTCTGTAAAACTTTCATCTTCTGCAGAATATGTCTGCCAGAGGCTTCCGAGAGTTGGTGGTCTTAAAAAGGACACTTTTTCCCTGCACCCTCTAGAAGCCGCAGCCCCAAAGCGCAGAGACTCCCCCTGCCTTCAAATCCCCGAAGTCTCAGCCTAGTCTCAGGAAACCTTGAGTCATCCATCCCTACTGCGACGATGACAGCTACCGATACCACCGACCATCGTCCTTCCACTTTTTCGTAGGTTCGAAACATTGCCAGTCTTACACCGTCTGAGTTTCCCGGGTTTTTTCAGCTCTTGGGGCCGCTCTTGGGGCATAATGTGGGGGCCTTAATAACTAGAATGGGGGTTTTGGGGGTATATTATACTATAATTAGAAACAGGAACCCCCCAAAAGACTACTCAGCAAATCGGATCTCCGGACGTGACCCCGAATAGACCCAAACCGCCACGCAGCCCAACCCCCATGGCCAAACATTAAACAGCCAAATCAAAAGCTCAAGCAAAGCTTCTTAGGCAGACGACAAACTCAATTGACCCCTAATGGGCTATTGAACGGGTGTAAGTTCCGGCTCAATGTCAGTCCTGGTGAATTTGCTCCGGGGACATGCCCTTGCACAGCGGGCACAGTTGTCATCTTCATGATGAAGATCAACACCAACCCTAACCCCCAGCTACCTACTATATAGGGAACTGGAGCCCCTAAGGCCCT